AACTCGCTATCATCCAAAAAGTATACAAATATCTTGGCCTAGTTGTAAAAAAGTAATTGCGTTTTAAAAGATGATTATACATAATGTAGGCTACATAAATATGAATTAGATGAATATACATTGTAGCTACACGTTGAACAAACGCAACAAGAGGTGCAAGAATGTTTCTGGAAACAGTTTTCTCATTTCCGCTTGATTATATTTGATCAAATAAAATCGACCCGCTTCTGGAGAACTAAAAGCTGCGTTTAACTTGCAGGTCGAATGGTTCTGGAACGGCAAGCCGCTGCGCACCGGGTCCCGTTTCCGCACGTTCTGCGACTTCGGCTTCGTGATCCTCGAGATCTCGCCGATCTACCCGGAGGACTCCGGAGAGTACAGTTGCCGCGCGTCGAACGAGTACGGCGAGGCCGTGACCACCTGCACGATGAAGTGCACCGGGAAACGCAGCATAATCCTGGAGTCGCAGCTGCCCAAGGGCATGGAGAGCACGATCGACAAGATCGCCGAGCTGGAGGGTCTCGGTAACGAGCCGAGCGCGGCCGTCCCCGAAGACGACACCGGCAAGCCGCCGGAGTTCATCACGACCCCGTCCGATCTGACCTTGACGGAGAACTCGCTGGCGCACTTCGAGTGCCGGCTGACGCCAATCAACGACTCGAGCATGAGGGTGGAGTGGTTCCACAACGGGAAGCCGCTTCTGGCCGGCAGCAGGATCAAGACGATCCATGATTTCGGCTTCGTGATCCTCGAGGTCGCCAACTGCTACCAACGCGACTCCGGCCTCTACACCTGCAAGGCGACCAATCGCCACGGCGAGGCCACTGTCTCCTGCAAGCTGCAGGTCCGCGGCCGTCAGGGCATCATCCTGGAGCCCCAACTTCCGTCCAACTTCAAGACCGGCACCGAGAGCATACAGAAACTCGAGGAGGCCCTCTACAAGAGGGACGAGATCCTGACCGAGGAGGAGACGCCGAATCCTCCTAGGTTCACCGTCGACCTCAAGGACATCGAGGTCGAGGAGGGAGCGGCCAGTCACTTCGACTGCAGGGTCGAGCCGGTCGGCGACTCCACCATGCGTATCGACTGGTTCCATAACGGACGATCGTTCGCCACCGGGTCCAGAGTGCACCAGATCAACGATTTCGGATTCATATCGCTCGACATGTCCTACACGTACGCCAGGGACAGCGGAGAGTATGTCTGCAGGGCGACCAACAAGTGGGGCTCTGCCACCACCAAGGCTACCATCACCTGCAAGTGTAAGTTCAGTTTGATTGATCATTTCGTCGGTTTCTATTAATAATTTATCAATTTCTATCAATTTGTATTAATTTTTACAAATTCTATAAATTTGTATCAAATTCTATCAATTTCTATCAATATCTATCAATATCTATCAATTTTTATCAAATTCTATCAATTTCTATCAATATCTATGAATTTTTATCCATTTTTATCAATTTATATCAAGTTCTATATCTATTTTTATCCATTTTTATTCATTCTTATTCATTCTTATTAATTTTTATCAATTCATAAAATATTAATAATACTGGCAATCTTAGAGATTTTCATCAACTTATCAATTCATCAATTTTTATCAATTTAAAAAATATT